TACGTACATGCATGCATGTATACAAGCCAATCATTGTTATAAACCGGACCAGTGAGGCGCACCCCTGCGTGCCTATCATCTTGCCGGGGCCAAAAAAATAGATATCAAAGCCTCCAAAACACACGACGATCTACCAGTTACCACGCTACTGCGACTGACATGGGCAAAAATCACGTTCGGCCTCTACTCAAGGCGCCGTGACCCCGAGGCAGGGCACAGAGTCACCAAAACCCACAATTATCTAGTATTTGTCGAGCCACTCCAAATACAACAGATGCACAAATTATGTCATGATAATGCATGTGCCTTCAAGTCACACTCGACAATCAAATATAAGGTTCTCGGTTAAAGATATCCTACAGGTTTAGCTCTGACGGCAAATATTCTTAAAGGGTCAGCGGAAAACACTAGAATTCCACATACCTACCAGTAAAGGTGGGACATAAGCCTCCGCTCCTTCCTCTTTCGCCCCATTTCAGCTTTTGCCGCATTGCTGTTAGGGAGAGCTGCCTTACACACGTACTGAGGAAAACCAGAACTATTCCTAGTATCTATCAATTCCGGCACCAAAAAAATGAAAAATAGAACACCACATTTCCATAGTTCTACCTCCTGCCCAGCATTTGACGTTAAGTGCCAGATCTACACCGCCTACTGCCTTACTAATGAAGCAATACCCTAAGGAAGCGATGCGGAATGGTGCAGCCTACCTGCGTACACTGATAGATGCGTTGATGGATGGATGGAGGAATAGATATACATAGAAAGGACGCGTGGACATGTAGCCTTGCTAAAGCACAGTGCGACCAAGGCCACCCAACCTCACAATAAAGAGTGACTTATTTACCAAGGTAAACGAAATTAACAACACAGATTGTGGGTAATTTTACGATGCGTATTCATTACCTCCTCACTTCTCATGAATGCAAGGTCTAGAGGGAATCCAAGTCTGCTTATAGAGAGCTTTTTAATTGGTGCGTGACCAGATTCTATAAATCAAGATACACTGACTGACATCTCTGGTGCCACTGGTACCACTCCATCAAAAATGTCCGCGTCGCCATGAAGGCGGGACGCGTTTAGACACACGAGGGTGATGATGCGGTTTTCAAAAAAAAACATGGCGGTACAAGAGCCTATTCAGTTCTTCGTAACATGAGCAAACACACCTTTCTAATATACAGCGTAAAGCGATGCAACAGAGGAGAGAGGTAGCTGAATTCTCGTACAGCAAGAAGCCAAATTAATGCTCTGAGAGTGCACACACCGCAAACCTGACAAGCTTAAATTTATTTACAATAAAGTAAACACATTCGTGCACAGGGGAAACACTCAATGCATGTGAAGTTCGTAGGTTTCTGTGTAGGACCCAAAACGTAAGTTAATAACATAAAATGACTAAGCGAAACTGCTTGCCATTGGCAACCCACCTCCCAGGGTTGTCTGACTTCTTAAGAAAGTAGTCCTTCAACTGCTGCATGGCTGTGTCGGGACTGACGAAACGCTCCACCTCCTCTCTCTCCGACTCCCCTCTACCTCTGACATTGCTGCCATGGCTTCCCCTTACACTTGCAGCAACAAAACGGCAGCACCGACTCATTTACTACACACCTGTGTCACAAGCGCCGACGTAAACCGGCATACAATCTAATGCCTGGCAGTTCTGGCGGTGAAAGCACCAAAGTGTCAACGTCGCACTTTCCTCCAATTACCACTCTCAGCATTTCTCCACCACCTCC